CTTGACTGCTAACCAGAAGTCTGGCGGTTCAAACCCACCAGCCACTCCTCGGAAGGAAGATGGGGCAATCTACTTCCGTAGTGATACTGCCTCGGAACCCCAAGGAGGGGTCGCTATGAGTCGGGTCTGACTCGACGGCACATAACAACAACAACAACGTTTAACTGCCTATGTTTGTATAACGTCCTACCTAAATAATCTGAGCACAAGTTCTTCATATATTATTAATCAATAACTTTCCTATCTCTTACTGAACCCCTGATAACCTTTATCAGGTGCTACAGGGACTTCATGTCATCTCTGAACTTCTGTATTAAGGATTAGAGCCCTGGTGACACAACGATTAGGTGCTTGGCTGCTAACTGAAAGTTTGGCGGTTCGAATCCACTTAGCAGCTCCACATGAGCAACACTGGCCGATCTGCTCTTGTAAAGATTACGGCCTAGAAGACTCTAGGGGCAGTTGGACTCTGTCATATGGGGTTGCTATGAAGTGAAATTGATGTGAGGGGGCCTGACACAGCAACATGCCTTTTTATGCCCTCTCCATAATTCTTTCTTTAATGTCTCAACACACACACACATATTCTCCTTCTAAAGCCAGAAAGCTCCCTTCAGTGCATTCTATTTATAGGGAGATGGGTAATGACACCAAGGGCTGGGGAAGATGTTGCAGAACTGACATTTTCATCAGCTTCTAGAGTGAGTACATTATCCCAAGGTAATCCATTTGACTTAGCAATTTCTCTTCTAAAAAAACCTAATGTAAGGAAAAATTAGAAATGCAAAGATTTTCATGAAAGGACATTTTTCAAAGCATAATTTACAACAAGAAAAAGTAAGATTCAACCCAAATGTCCAAGCAATGCTGTTGTTGTGTGTTGTCAAGTTGATTCCGACTCACAGCGACCCTAAAGGATAGAGTAGCACTACCCCATGAGGTTTTCTAGGCTGTAAATCTGCATGGAAGCAGACTGCCACATCATCTTGTGGAGCAACTGAGTTTGAATCGCTAACCTTTTTGGTTAGCAACCAAGCACTTAAGGACTATGTCACCAGGGCTCCTTGCCCTCCCCCAAATAGGAAGGTTAATAAATTGTGCTATATATATTTGATACAGTATTATGTAGCTGTTAAAATCATATTTTTGAAAAATGTTTTTTGAAGTGGGGAACTTGATCATAATAAGAATGATAAAAACAGAATGCAAATTTATTTATATGGTTTGACCCCCAATTTGGTCAGTATGCATAGAGAAGACATTGGAGGTATATATCATAGAGCAGTTGTGAGGATCAAATGAGTTAACATTTGTGAAGTACTTAGAATAGTGTTTGTTGCACAGTAAATACTATATGTTGGTGGCGTAGTGCCTAAGGCACTTAACTGCTAACCAAAAGGCTGGCGGTTCAAACCCACCAGCCACTTCTTGGAAGGAAGGTTGGGCAATCTACTTCTGTAGTGATACCACCTGGGAAACCCAAGGAGGGGTCGCTATGAGTCAGATCCGACTCGACGGCAGTACGTGTATCAATCAATAAATTTCTGGATGAATAGTCCCGAGTTTTTCCTCAGTGTGGCATTTGAATGTAGCTATTCCTAATTTTGTGCTAAAGGTCAATAGGTGCAGAAAAAGATGAAAACTTTTAACAGCATCAGATGCTTAAGACTGATGTAAAGCTTAATGCTAAAATATGAGATAAGAGGATGGATAAGCATATAAAACCAACAGAGCTGAACTGAGAAAACCCACCTGAACCTTAACTCATGTTCCCTTAAATTTTTGTAAAAAAAGACTGACAAGAGCTAGAAAGACACTTCCAAACTCTCCCACCATCTCCTCCCTGACTTAGGTTCTGAACTACCCAATACCTGATCAGGTGTCACTCCATCTTCCTGCAGTTAGGCTAACTTGTTACAGAGCACAAATGGAAGGCAGTGGAGAAACTGGTCATTCCAAGGTGTGCGGCTTAGAGTAGGGTCAGGATGGAGAGAATCACCCGTCTGGTAACACTCATTACAGTTCTTCAAATGCTAAATCAGCTCAGAGTGAGAGGGCATAGGCAGTTGGGTATGAGGCACCTACAGTGTTGGTTTCTCTGGCAAACGTTGCTGTTCTTACCATTATTTGCACATCATCTTCATTCTACCTAATGACTCCTTGAATGATAAGTCTTATTTGAGCTTTTTATAATACTTATTTACTAAGTGGGTGCTCAAGTATTCTTTTTGAGAGAGTGAATGAAGAGCATAATTGGATATTTAAATGAACTATTCTAAGACTTACTGCTATCTACTGAACCAGTACTGGTTTTAGTAAACCAGTAAGTTTAGTTTTCTAAAACCAGTAAGTTTTAGAATAGTTGATTTAAGGAGCTCTGGTGACATAGTGCCTAAGGCATTTGACTGCTAACCAGAAAGTTGGCGGTTCAAACCCACCAGCCACTCCTCAGAAGGAAGACCGGGCAATGTACTTCCATAGAGATACCTACCACCTTGGAAACCCAAGGCAGGGTCGCTGTGAGTCGGGTTCGACTCCACAGCAGTGAGTTTGGTTTGCAGTTTTGGAGGGTCCACTCGTCTAGGCTAGACTTGGCTCTGGGCTGTGGGTTAGGCCCAATTCTGCCCCACATGTTCCTCATCCTCCCAGATGTCTGTTCTTCTCATGGTGAAAGGAATGAGTGCAAACAACAAGCTTAACCAAAGGAGTACATTTCATGTCTATTTGCCTAAGGTTCTCTGACATTCCATTGGCTAATGCAAGTCACATGGGCAACCCCAACATCAACAGCATGGGGAAGTATACTCCTCTCATGGAGGCTGTGGGGACAGAGGGAGAGAGTGACTATTTGCTAAACTGTAAGCTTGTCTGCTACAGGGCTCTGGGATTTTTTATCCACATGATTTTTTTCTCTGACGGGCTCTGAATTTTACTATTTAGATAAATTACAAGGCACGAGGAATGGCATCATAAGATGTGGTGAACCACATTTACTCCTTTCCAAACTTCCACAAATTCTAGGTGACACAATTCATACTTAAGTATTAAATGTACTGATCATTTTGCATACAATGCACTTGGCTCATTTCAGGACCCTTCCTTTTTCAGTCTAAATATTAAACTTCTGGCAATCTCCTCCCAGACATTTTACATGCCAAAAGCATTTGCGTGCAACAAACCCTTGCCTACAGAGTCCTTAGCTCTTTGCTCATTTGTCTATTACAGTGTCAAGCAAGGCTCCTCTAGGCAGAATATGCATTATATTGAAATTTATAACAATAACTTTCATGGGCTTAAAAACAAGTGAGGAAAGCAAAACTTGATCAAATAAATATTGTACACTGGATAGATATCTTGATAATAAAGAAATATCTTGAAATAAAGCTCCTGTTTCTCTGATGTCAGCTTGAAGTTATATACAGAGCATCTTTAATTGAGGAGAAGTATGGTGAGGGGCATCATGGAGGCAAATTATAGGCTTTTTGTGTCATAATGAGAGGAAACCATCAAAAAAACCCAAAAAACAAAACCAAATCCACTGCCATTGAGTTGATTCTGACTCATAGCATGAGCTATGAGCTCCTTATGATGAGAGAAGTATACTATAATCATTACTTTCCTAGAGAACAGAGTTTGCTCTATAGGGAAAAAAACCAAATTGATTTATTGAGTACTAATATCTGGTAGCATAGTGGCTAAGGCACTTGCCTGCTAACCAGAAGGCTGGCGGTTCAAACCCACCAGCCACTCCTCGGAAGGAAGGTTGGGCAATCCTACTTCCGTAGTGATACTGCCTCGGAAACCCAAGGAGGGGTCGCTATGAGTCAGGGCTGA